GAAGGACAGAAGGAAGGAAGGAAGGAGGGAGGAAGGAAGGAAGGAAATATCACCTGTTATCAAGGATAAGATTTGCACTAGTGACACAGATAACATAATTTGACAGAGTAGAAAGTGGTGGGTCACTGCAAGGTTGCCCCTCCCCCCAAAGGACGTGGTATACCCAATATGAATATGTTATGTGGAAATGTGTGATTTAATGGTTTTCTTGAAGCATATTTAAAAGTCAAAAAATGTGTTTTCTAGGTTCAAGTCTTTCAACAAATGTCATTACAACTTCTGTGATTCAATTTCCCATTCTCTTCTAGAAAACCAAACCAGGCATTGAATAGGAGAGGCCCTAAAGTCACATTGAGCTCTGAACTTTGATATGCTTAGCATAAAACTTGCCTTTTCAGCCCCTCAAACAAAAAGAAGTTGGTTTTTACCTCTGCAAATGAACATCTTAATTATAAAACAGCCATAATTTGTTATTGCCTTTATATGCAGGTGGTCAGTCACTGCTCTCTCATAGTTTTCCTTTCATATTCATGTTAATTAAAGTTGTAATATACTTAGAATCATTTGTGTGACTAATCATTTGTAATACTAATGATACAATTGTAGCAAATTAGAAAAAAATGATCAAAATGCATTACATTCTACTTTTTCTATGACGTTCTTTTCAAAGCTAACTTTTCTCTCTAATTTTCACATAAGCTGTCCCATAAATTTAGTTTATAGCAAAACAAATCTCTTGAGTCATTGAATATTATTGAGGTTCTTTAAAATTGGCTAATGTAAGTTGACTTACTGCCGTTGTAACATGGAGTGAGCAGCTGATTTTAAAGTTTAGACATTGGTATTCTTAGTACTTGTTTAAAGTGAAAATGAAGGAATTATATATTGCAAGGATTTCCATTATGTTTTCCTCTTTATACACAGTACATTGTAGATGATTAAAGGAGCCTGTATATCCCCTCCAAAAATGAAAATTAATATTTCTCCCCAAATCCAAAATCCATTCTTCCATAAAAAAATAATCACTTTTCCTTATGTTTTAAAGCTGCTCAGATTAGCCCCCAGTTCTTGAAATTATAGTTGTCTCCCCTTTTCCAAAGGGGATATATTTGAAAACCCACCGTGGATACCAAAAACCATGGCTAGTACTGAACCCTATATATACTAGGTTTATTGCTATCATATACCTACAATAAAGCTTAGTTGATACATTAGGCACAGTGACAGATTAACAACAATAACTAATAATAAAATAGAACAATTATAACAATATACTGTAATAGATGGTATGGATGTGGTCCCTCTCTCTCTCTCTCTCTCTCAAAATACCTTTTTATGCTGTTCTCACCCTTTTTCTAATGACGACATAATATGATAAAATGCCTATGTGGTAACAGGAGGCGATGTGAATGGTACAAACACTGTGGTGTAGTGTTAGGCTGTTATTGATCTTCTGATGATACAAAAGGACAATCATCTGCTTCCAGATCATGGTTGACTGTGGGTAACTGAGACTGTGGAAAGTGAAACTGTGGATAAGGGGGGATTACTGTATTGATGTTCATAACACAACTAATTCCTCAATTGAATTGTGTCCACATAGGAAGAATAAATATGTAACTCATGGTTCCCTTACATTTTTATTCCAAAATTAATTATTGGTGAAAACTTTAGTGAATGGAAGCTGTTTTTTTCAAATACACTAGAATGTCACAAAGTTTTGAATTTCCATGCAACAAGCCATTTCTATATGACAATGCTTGAATTAAAGCCAAGTAGCTTTAATTAGACTAATAGATAGTCTTCATAAAAAAAGCCCAAATGGAATTGCAAGTCCTGAATTTCTTATTTTTCCCCCTCTTGAATGTAACATCTAACTTACATAATAAAGGACTTTGTATCCAGCTAACTAAGTAAACTAAATTTGTATACCTCTAATTATATCACAATATGAAATTTTCTAAAATAGTAGGAAATATGGTTAACATGTAATTAAAAAAATGTCTTCAAACTCATATTTCATACAAAAACCACTTTAGGATTCATTGCATACAGAAATTATATCGACAGTCAAAAAATCGATATTCTTAAATTTAAAATCGGTAAGCCACTGCTATGCTTAAACTCTGCATTAACTTTGTGTCACTTTTGGAAAGCTGCATCTCATGGTACTATTATCTCTTCTGAATGTCAGGAATGGGCATTTTGATGACTTTATGGTTTTTGTGATGTGTCACTCAGACTCTGAAATGTTTGAGTACTGTAATAGTGCTGAAGTATGGCTACCCATTAGAGTCCTAGTCAGAGGATTTAAAACATGTTGGTCGGGCCCCAAACCCCAGAGATTCTGATTAAATTAGCCTGAAGTACCTTTTTGAAAAGGTTTCCAGGTTATTCCAAAGTAAAGTTGCCTTTAAAAACCAATAAATGGGAGGATTTGGGAATAATGACAATGTTTGGCTCATGATACCCTAGAATGGATTTCTAAGACAGAAGATAATATGAATTGACTGTATTCAGTTATCTCCAGGAATGACATTTATTACAGGACTGAGTCAGTTAATGTTTTGAAGTTCCTCCTTGTTCTTTTATTCTAAGATACTATCCTGTCCTTTCCATGTTAGTGGTTATTTCACAATTTTTTTCTTCATAGAGCACATAGTGACTCATCAATTTTTAAATACCCTTGAGAATAATATAATAGCAGGCTATGGAGAGATACGTCTATTTATTCAAAAACTTCATTATCTGTAACGAGTAACTATGATCTGTGAAATCACAACAGAACCTTTAAAAAGGAAAATGATATCAATAATATTAACACAATCAATGTTGAGAACATGTGTACTAGTAGGAAAAATAAAGTTAAAGGAATGATCAAAATTGAGACAAATTAATCAGTGATGGCTTCTTGGAAGCACTGATTTGTACCAGATTCAGAGGGAAGTGATGATATCTAAGTCAACAAAGGGGCTCTATGTAAAATGCTGCAGTGAATAAAACATGAATAAGCTATGATCCCTATTCTCAGGGCATTGATGATGTAATTCAGAAGTAGTCCTATCTAACTCATATAAAGGTAGAGTGTGCTATGAGAAGGATGGATTTATTCCATATTAAAGGACTGGACATGACTTCATGGGCAAAATTTGAACTAAGCCTTGAAGTAGGAGAGGGGAGTGGTTGGGAGGATGAATAAATATCTTCCAAAAAAATTACTGACCTAAGTAACAATATGGCAGCACATTTTCTTGAATGCTCAGGGAAAAAGTACACAAGATGAATGCAAGAGGGCGTTTTGGAGAGGTGAGAACGTACAATTGTGTTTGGAAAAATACTAGGCCAATTCACCAGGCTGGAAAGTCTCAAAAGAGGTTTGGGCGTCTGGGTGGCTCAGTGTCTCCCTCTCTCTGCTCATTGCCCCTTACCCAGTCATGCTCTCCTCTCTCTCAAAATAAATGAAAGGAAGAACGAAAGAAAGAAAGAAGAAAAGAGGTTTGCCAAATATGCAGGTAAGAGAGGGCTCTGAAAGACTTTAAGGAGTTGGACATCCACACATCCCAAAGAGCAACACTTCCAAAGGATTGCAATTATAATGGAAATAATATCAGGCCTGTTAATATCTGGCCTCAAGCAGTTATTTGTTTGCATCAACCAACCTCCAGTCTACAGTGAGGTCTGATTGGATATAAGATAATCATTACAAGAAAGGAAGTCACAATTGTCAGGAATTTATTTCAAGGAATAAGCATGCAGAAAAGTCTTTCATTCTGGGACTGGGAGGCTGTCATTCAGTACTTTTTCAGCTCTTTTCATGGCGAAGCAACCAACTTCCTCATTCTGAATTTATATACATAGGTCCGTTGTCAGAGCTACTCAATGTAATATTTGGATCAAATGTTTCACTGAAGCATGTATTTTAATTATTATATTTTTTATTTCAAGTTCTTTTTTATCCTTTCTCTATCCTGATTGCTTAAAAATACTCTGGAGAGAGAGGGGGAAAAATCACTGTATAAAAAATAATTAGCACGTCCTCTCCTTTTTATAACTTTATAATTGAAATCTCATTAAAGGCTTTCTAGGTCTCCTTTCCCTTAGTGACCAGGTGTCCCTAATTTGTTTTTATCCGATGTGACTAATTCCAGGCAAAGACTAGAAAAAGTCTGATACCTGTTGGAGAATAGCAATAGCAAGGTTAAATAAGTGGGGTGGCTTTTTCAGGTTGTCTTTAACCTCGTAAAACAAAACAAAACAAAAAAAAAAAAGGAAAAAAAACAAAAGAGCTTCAACGTGTTTCCTCTTGGAGTCCTGCCTTTTTCTCAGTCCCAGTTGAAGATTCCAAGGGAAAGGAGAGCACTATTTTGTTTCTCCCTCGTATTGCAGATAGGGGGAGGAGGTGGTTATTAGAGAGAAGCTCTTCCTCTCTCGGTTCCCCCTCTCTCCGCCTGACAGCACCGCTCTCTCGCGGGCTCGCTCGTTCTCCTAGGTGATCCATTTCTAGGCAACGTGGGGCTAGTGCTGAAGCTGCCAGGCTCGCTCCTTGCTCGCTTTCTGCATCCCGCCGGGCGAACCGCTCCAAAAGCATCCTGCAGCCTGCAGGCTTCCCTCCGCCGGCCCGGCCCCGCTGCTCGCGCCCGGCGTAACTCCCCCGCCACCGCGCCCGAGCGAACGGCTCCCCGGGCCCGCCTCACCGAGCTCTGCTCCCCGCCTCGCGCAGAAAAGGAATTTTCTCTGCATTACTATCTGCATTACCTTGAAGTTCACTTTTACTACCCCTCTTGGAGAGGGCTTTTTTCCCCTTCCCCGTTGGAATCTGGCTGCTCCGCTTGGAATCTCCTAACCTTTCCTTTCCACTTACATTTTATTTTGGCAACGAAGACCAGAGATTCTCTGCGGGCCGTTGGGGCGGGGGCGGGGGCGGGGGGGCGCGCTTTTTTTTTTTTTTTTTGATTGGGGGAGGGGGGAGGGGAACATCCGGCGTAGGTGGGGGCGGGGGGGGTCTGTTGGAAGTTGCGGCGGAGCTGGGACTGGAGACCCGCGGCCCCGGCGCCGCGATGGGGATGGTCTGAGCTCCAGCCTCTACCCCTGCCCGAGAGCAGCCGAGGCTGGATACATTTTTTAAAAGCCAAACTGCAAACAACTCTGGCGATGCCAAAATTCCCCTCCAAGTGACACGGCTTTGCGAAGGAGGTTTCCTCAGGCTGGGCTCTTTCTCTTATTCGCTCTGCCTTCATCAGCGACGATTAAAGGCTTTGCTCTCGCATAGGAATTTAGGGGAAAAAAAAAAAAAAAGCTGCGCTAAACTCTGTCGTGACCTCAAACTCTCCGGACTGGTTTAAAAAATAGATTGAAAGAAAATCCATCCTGAAAGCGATTCAGCATAGGAGGAGATGGAAGTTTTCCCCTTGCTCTTGGTTTTGTCCGCCTGGTGGTCTCGAACCTGGGACTCGGCGAATGCGGATTCAATCATTCACATCGGTAAGAAAGGGCAGGTGTTGCCTGTGGGTACTTTTAACGTTGGGGTTAGCAAATGTTTCCCTTTGCCTCCCCCTCTCCGCCCTTAAGCGTGGCTTACTGGCGCTGGCTTCGGTTTATTGCCCCTTCCCGCTAACCTTCCCTCACACTTGTTCAGTTTTCTGGCAGGATGTGGCTGTGCGAACCTTGACTTGGGCCGTTGTTTCACGGTGAATCGTGGAAGTGCGGGGCTGGATGCGTGGGGGTCTCGAGTTTACCTCAGTTGTGCGTGTGTGTCGGGAAGTGCGGGGCGGGGGCTGTTCTAAGTGTGTGGAGAAAGGAAGTTTAATCGACTCTACCTTCCATATTCTTTCCCGGATGTACATTTGCTCCATTAAAAAAAAAAAAATATATATATATATATGTATGTATCTTTAGGGGAAAGAAGAGGTGTCACCTGTGAGGCGAAAACTGGGGTGAGGGTGGGGGGAGCTCCCTTCGGATCGAACAGGTGGTTTTGCAACGTGAGCGGGCCGCGTTAGCCGCAGCGTTGTGCGATGGGGACGGGGTGCCGGCTGCGCCCCCAGCCTCTTTTTCCTCTTCCCGTCCTCTTGGCTTTGCGGTACACGCGCAGAGTCGCCGCGACGGTGGCGGGAGGGGCCGGCGGCGGTGTGGCCGAGGACGGGGAGCCGCGCGCCTCGCTGCTTCGCGCACACTCCCCCGGCCTGGCGAGGCGGCCAGACCGCCTCGGGGCGCACGAGCAGCGCGGGGCGCGCGGGCCGCCCTCGTGGGCTGCCTCGCGGGCACCTGCCTCGCTCGTCTCGCGGTCAACTCCGAGTTGCCGCGCAGGGCCGAGAGCAAAGGCGTTTGGGCTACGGCCGGGAGGCCAGACTCCAAGGAGAGCGCCGAGCCGGCTCGGAGAGGCTCGTGGCCCCACCTATTGGCAACCAGACGGGCCGGGACTGGCCGCGGCGGGCGGGGGCGGGCGGGGGCCGCGCGTCATTATCATGCACAGCGCTCGCGGCTTCAGGCTCCAACTCTTCTCACTTGCTAATCCGTGAGAGCAGAGTGGAGTCGGGCTCCGGCAGCCTTTTCTGCGTTAATGCGACGATTTCCTTTTCGGAAATTCGCGTCCGCGGGCCAGCGAGGTTCATTTACTGGGAAGAAGAGAGACCCCTCTTGGGGAATTTTTCTGGGCACAGGACTTTTATCTGTCCACACGGCTTTATGTTCTTCAAATTGAAGCGACAGATGGGTCGCAGCGTCTCCCCTTTTCGTCCCCCTGCTCCCCTCCCCTGCTCAACACGCACACACACACACACACACACACACACACGCACACACACGCACACACACACACACACACAGAGTCCTGGAAGGGGAGTCTGCTTCAGGTGGCTGTGGTGCCTGCCCAGGCGAAGGGCTTCTGTCTGGTGTATGCCTCCACAGCAGCCAGCCCCTCAGCTCCAGGGGACTCCCTCTCTTGGTCTCAGAGGCTGTGTCTGTAAACATGTCTGCCATTCTCTGTCATTTATATCAATAGAAACATATAGGTCTCTGTGCAAGGGGTAATGAGGTCAGGATTCACAATACCTGCCGCTTATGCATTAAGTAAATTAAGCACTAGGTAGCTTGACTGCTGGATCACGTTTTGCCCGGGGGCTAACAGGACCCCTGGGTTCAGAACTTTACAGGGAGAGATTACCGTCTTATTGAGGGGTTCAGTAATGTTCTGACAGAATTCAGAAATGAACTGTGCTCCTCTTAAAGAAATGACATACGTTTATGTGCAACTGTAAATGAGTGGAGCAGGATGCAGATATATATTACCACGGTACCTTTACATTCATTTTATGATTCGAGGTTTCTGTCTTATGCTCCTCATCGCTCAGGAGAGAGGTCTTGTGGATAAATGCTTATTTTATTGCTTATTCTGTGGACTACAGGATAAATATGTTATTTGCAAACACCTACAGCCCTTGCTGTCTTTTACCAGATGAATATATTTTGCAATACAGTCTGATCATTTGTTTCTAAATTGAACACAACTGTTGTATTTTTTCCTTGGCATTCTGTTGTCTGTCAATGTGGCATGGCTTGTTTATAACCTGACCAAAAAAAAAAAAAAAAAAAAAAAAGGTAACTGTGTACAAATTACAGATTTCCTTGGAAAGCTGGTTGTATGCATGAACTCTGTATATCCTACTAAAAGGAATACTTATCAGACAATTTGACTTGAATGCAATTAGTACATTAGGCAAGAGGATTCGCTTCTTTTATAGGCTACCTAGTATTGCCATGAAGCTAGCAAACTGATAATTGTTTCAAATATCTTTTTTAATATACTGATAATGTTATTTCCCAAATTTAAAAAAATGACCAAGAATAATTTGTGTGCATATTAGAGGTTAAAAGCCTCTCCCACTTCAACCCCCATCCCAGCCAAAGTGTAATAAATTCAAAACTGAATGCCCCTATTAAAGTTTTAAACCATCAGTTAATATTCATTGGCTCAGTTTACCTGGTTGATTGGAAAAGAGAATTAATTATCTTTAGGAGGTGATTGCCTTCATTTAAATGTTTAATGGGAGAAATATGCTTATAGCAATTTATTATTTTAGGATTTAAGGGATGAAAGTGATGAAACTAAAGGGAAGGTGAATATTTCAACTCGCAAGTCATAAGGAGATATGCAGAAATGAGAGGTTTTCCTGGCCTCGTGTGGTGTGTTCAAGTAGAAAGCAGCTGCAGTATATAGTCCAGGCAAGCTGGAAAGATTAAAAAAAAAAAAAAGACACTGTTCTAATAGGTTCTTCAAATATTGAATCCTTTTGGTATTGAACAGAATTCTATGTATGAAAACTCTCTTCCTTCTTTCTGCTTGTTTTCATTTCATGCAGGTAGTTTTTAAAAGTTGATTACATATTTTAAACTCTAATATGTTTTATTAAACTCATGAGTTCACTACAATGATGAAATATATCATAATGTTTAAATTCCAGTCGTTGAACTGGCAGTGTGTTTTTTCAGTAGAAAATGCACTAATATCATACATAATTACTTTGAGTTTCTGTTAAAGTACATTTTAAAGATAATTTGATAATTACATACATTTGTGTAAAGCACATTCACATACACTATTTAGAAATGAATCACCTCAATTGTGATATTCTTTGCCCCCCCCCAAGAAAGGTCTTTTGACATATAAAAACTGCAATTTTGAATTATGCTTTTGCTTTGAGCCTGTGCATTGATTGAGTAATTTCATCAGACCCACATTACTTGATTGCTTAGAAGTTTCCTAATGATCTGCATGCTGTAGGAAGCACCAAAAAATCGTGAGTGGAATGGCAATGATACTGTGTTTTATGAGGCTATTCAAAAGTCGCTCTGATTTATGTAGCTAGAAAGCTCGAAAGTCTCTGAGATTAGCCACGCTGACTGCTATTTTCTTCATACATCAGTCGTTCCACACTCTTTACTCCCTAAACACAACAGGAGTGTAGAGCACTGCTTTAATTAAGCAGGGATTAGGTGGCATTTCCAGCCAACTGCACAGTTTGTGTTTTGCTTCAAATCTAATATGGAGGATCTCATGTTTTAACAGTTTAATGTATGCTCATTTCTTTATCTGGTTCCTGTGCTCACAGAACTGATTGAAATGAGCTATCCTAAGTTATATATCTCTACAAGGATGCGCTCAAATAATGTACTTAGTCATGTTACCAAAATCACTCACAGGTTTTTGTTGTTATCAGTCATAGTAAAATACCTTACGCCAGCAGGGAATAGAAACAAACCATTTATTTATGTTTTTCTTGTAAGTGAATGATACTTTATCCTCTGATATCATAATCATTAACTTTGATATGTTTGAGAAGCCTAAGACAATTCACAAAATAATTTCATCGCAAGAAACTTCAAATTAAAGTACAAAACTGATGGCTGAATAAAATGTCACCACATTAAAAACAATAATAGCAGATTTAAAGCAACAGTTTTCATGATTTCTGCAGTGAGGACTATTATATCAAATATGGAATGTAACAGTATTTCCAGAAAATGTACTGTGTCTTCTACCAAAATGTTGTTTTTTCAACCTCTTTACATAATTTGCATTGGGTATAATAACCCCCAGGAGTCACCAAGGGCTCTGTGTGCTGTATAGAGATATCTCACAATTTAAATTATCCCTTTATGATTTACAGTAGTTGTTTTCTCCCTAAGTTATGGATAACATATTTTAAAATAAGGGTATACTTTACTGTTATTCTTTTCTGTATCATTAATACAGTTATTTGACGCATAATTCAGATGTGCATTAAGTTAGACAATGTTATTAATCAACAGTATCAACTATGACATGACTAATAAGCCATTACACTAAGGACCTTTGCTTTCTACTCCAAGTGAAGGGTAGACCCAATAAATATCTCCTATAAATTTTAATTCAAATATGAATAAAAATCAAGATGATTAACTTTTGACTTATTAAACAGTAGCAACCAATTGAGACTGTTAGGAGTAATGGAAGATGCATTATATTTAATTCTAATTTCTAAGGCTAAGTTTATCACATTGTAATTTTATCTCAAAGGGTTTTGTAACATTAAAACCAGACTTTCTAATCTGGAAGCTTTTTTTTTTTTCATTCTTTTACTTGCATATGTTATTTTATTATTAAAAATTAAAGTATTTGGCATACTTTTATGCTTTTGGATCCTCATGATATTTCAGATTATAGGCAGCATATTGGTGAGTAGCAATACTTAGACAGTTTTACTGCAAATATAATGTTTATTAGAAAATACATCTATGGCCTATAAAGATAGCTTTGCCATTAGGTGTCACTGCATTCTGAGCTGTTCCTTTGTAGTCCTCCTACTTGAAAATCACATGAAATATGTTTTTTTTAATTTGCAGAAAAAAAGCCATTCAAAGACGTTTATGATGCTATAAGATACAAGTGGTTTTTATTTTCAAACCAGAGTAGGAAATATTATCCCTGTCTCTTATTCTTGTAA